ACTCACTATAATGTTGTATTTTTTTAATCATGGCATTTCTGCTTCATATTGGGATGATGTCCCGCTGCATTCAGCGTGAGGATGTCCAGTCACAGGACTCTCCTGCCCAAAAATATTTCTGAGTATACAAGAGAATTCTTTCTTAAAGTGTAGAACTTTCTGAAGTTCCTTTATTAACCTTTCTATTAAAAAAATACTTTGGGCCCTCCCTGGTGGCGCAGTGGGTTAAAGCACTGCACTGAGAAGCTAAAGCCACTTCTGCATGAGTTCGATCCTGCCTGCCCCGGAGGTGACCACATGGCGCGGCAGATCTCTCCTGACCCGCCCGCTGCTCCCCTCAGCAGTGTACTTCGTCAATCTGCCTGTTCTGCTTCCTGCTCTGTCTCTGGTGAATCCTCTCACCCTCAGCATCTCTGGCCTGTACCCCAGTTCTGTACAAATAAATAAATAAATATTAAAAAAATACTTTGACTGTTTTGAAATTGACAGAGCTTTATGAACACAGATAGTCATTAAATTAGGCCACTTCTAAAATAACTCAAGTCAGGGACAAGTCAGAATTTTAAAGAATACGGGAATTCTGTTCTTAGCATTAGAACTTCACCACACCATATTGCTATACTTCTTTCTTCTTCTGTGTGGTCCATTAAAGCCTATTTGGAATTTGTTGAGATTGGCTTTGTGGTCTGCAGAGTTGCCCTTTCCTAGTGAATATAACTTGGAAAATTCTTTAAAGTGAATTGAGTCAGACTGGTTGGTAGAGCTGCACAAATCTTTATTATTTTTGGGTTTCTTTCTTTCTGTTTTGTCTCCATTGTAAAAGAAGGTTGAAAGGGAGGGCCAAAGGACACTGGGACAGTAGACTTAAATCCAGCCACATCAACTATCGCACTAAATATCCAGGAAGTGTGGATTCTTATGATTCTTCCTTAGGTGTTCCAGGTTTTGCTCGTGAGTCTGGAAAGCTCGTTTTCAGTTGCAGAAACATTTGTGATTATTCTGACTTCCTGATGAGTTGACTCATTATAAGATATCCCTTTTTCTTTCTAGTCATACTTTTTGATGAGAAGATGCTTTTATTTTATTGATACTGCAACTCATGCTTTCCTAGGGTTACTGTATACATGGTGTCTCCTTTTCCCCTGTTTCTTTCTTTATGTTTGAAATATACCTTTTTGTTTAAGAGAAAAGAAAACATGCCTCTATGTTAGAGCTATGTTTTTAATAAAAACCAAACTCACGATCTTTGGCTCTTACTAGCATTTATTCTGTTGATATATAGTGTAATTCAGTATGTTGTTGCATTTAAGTCTGTCCTCTTGCTATTTGATTTCTGTTTCTCTTATTGTCATTGTTCTGCCACCATTGCCTACTTTCGCATTGAGGGTTTTTTTTTGTATTCCATTTAACAACTCAATTGGCTTATTATTTAGATCTCTTTATTATGTAGGTTTAACAGAGCACATGATGCTCTATTATCAGTCTACTGTGAAGGAGTATTTAACATCTTCATGTATATTGTAAGGAATTTACCCCTTTCTCTTCTCTAAGCCAGTAACAATTTTCTTAGTTCTAGCCACTGTGTGTCACCTGCGGGACAAGCCCACAGGTGAAAAGTTGGATGTGAGAATTTCACGATTCCCTTTGCACAGAGCAGGATTCCCTCCACTTCTCACCTGGTTTGGGTTGCTCTGCAACTTCTTCAAAATTGTTTTTATACCTTAACCATCATTTTGTATAGCTATTTTGGGGATAGTTTATCTAATAAAATCTGTTCCACTATAATCAGAAGTGGAATTCTCATTTTTAATGATGTATAAGCACTTTTGAGTCTGTTCCCTCCCTCCGGAACTTGACAGCAACCTCCATTTAACTAGGTGTGTGACCCATCCTCCTACTCTGTCTTCCTGTGTTCCTAGCCTGAAGTAGCCACCATCCTGAATTACACGTTATCATTCATTTTTTCTTTTTGTATAGCTATATTAAATCCATAGGTGTGCATTTGTTTTTAACTTCATGAAAAGCTTTTTTGAGTTTACCAAAGTCTTGGTTTGCTATTATGTTGCACAGATTTGTACATACCCCACATACAGTACTTGAACTGGTCATTACCACTATGAGTAATTCCATCCTATGAATACACCAGTTCATGCATCTCTTCCCCTCTGGATGGACCTGTGGTTATTCCACATTTCTGACCTTGTGAATAGCCCATGAACACTTTTTGTGTTTAGCTGATGTTTCTACAAGCCTGCTAGGATGAAAGTGAATTTGACTGTTGAGTTTTAAGTCTTTTTTACATTCCATAAGAGATCCTGTGAACACACATCCTCTACAGTACTGGTAGTGTTGTTTTATTTTTTTTTTACCAGTTGATTATTTATAAAATACCATTTTGTTGTCTTGAATCCTTGATTATTATTTACATCATTCATTTCTTAACATTCATCCATTCACCTGTATGTTGAACGTGTTTCTTCTTTTGTTATATGTATGCTTATGTCCTCACCCTCTCATTATTCCATCAATTTTAAGAATTCTATACCTGGAATACCAACAAACAAGAAAACTGTATTTAGCTACTTTTAATTTATTAAAGAGATGTTTAATTCCTGAAACACTGTTGAACTGGCAAACCCCTCCCAGCCAGTGGTGTCTCCTGTTTTGCAGTGTTGTGTGGGGGCTGCTCTGTGACAGGTGTAGCGATTGAAAGTAAACATTTGTAAGCTTTTATAGCAGCTTCACACTCTTGTTTTATTACACAAAGGATTGGTGTTTAACAAATTGGACATTTTAAAAACTCCTGGTTCTTCACTTCTTGGAAAAGCATGGCCTAGGTTCTCATACCTCAGCATTGTGGCATTTAAAACCCTCACTGAATGGAAGGGAAGAGAAACTTTTAACTCTGTGTTCAGACCTCTGAGATGTGCTTTCCAACAATGCTGAGCTTTGTCTTTCTGAGCTGGCAAGGTGGCCAGAGCTTTCCTGGCCATGGGCCTGCCTTGGTTTCCTCAGCTTACCTCAGGTTTACCACTGAATCCAGCAGGTGTCTCTGTGTTTTATTTGTATATAGATTCAACTTTGTAGCATTTAGAGTGCTCTGGAGTGCTGCTTTTAGAATGAAAGAGAAAGCAAGCCACTCAGTTATGTGGAATTCAGGGATTGTGGAATCCTTTACATTGTAATTTATCATCCCTCAAATTTTCCAGGGAAAGGAGTTTTCCTCCCCCCCCCCCACTAAATTTGAATACTACCTATTTGGATTGTGTACTACTTAAAGTTCATGTAACTTTCAGCATCTCTCTGGGTCCTTAACATAGCCTATTAACCCTCTTATTTCTGGGCTTACTTGGGCTTCGGGTATTTTCATGCAGTAGTTGTTCCACATAACATGATAATAAAATTTTACACTTTTGGGAGGACAACAACTATCACATCATGTCATATCACCATTATATGATCTCACTAGAGGCACCATAGAGAACAAACCCAACAAGCAGCCTCCATGTGCCAGGTAGTGTCAGCACCTTCTCTCAGGGATTTGTTGCACCACGTTGGCTGCCGAGCAGCAAGAGTCTTGCTTAGCCTCATTGGGGGAATTTACCTGTGTGTCTAGTCTAGTACCTGCCAGGCACCAATTCATTTGAAAAAAATCACATAATCTTGACTGTTTCTTATTTTACTATCAGCTATTTTGCTGACAAAAAAATTTCAATTTTTTTTTTTAAATTTCAGTCCTTTTTTTTTTTTTAAAGATTTATTTATTTATTCATATAGAACTGGGGTACAGGCCAGAGATGCGGAGGGTGAGAAGATTCACCAGAGACAGAGCAGGGAGCAGAACAGGCAGATCGACGAAGTACACTGCTGAGGGGAGCAGTGGACGGGTCAGGAGAGGTCTGCCTCGCCATGTGGACTCCTCTGGGGCAGGCGGGAATCGAACTCATGCGGAGGTGGCTTAAGCTTCTCAGTGCAGTGCTTTAACCCTCTGCGCCACCAGGAAGGGCCTAAATTTCAGTCCATTTTTGACAGGTAGTCAAGTGAATAGATCTGGACACAGTTACAACATCTAGCTATCCTTTGACAGGAGAACAGAAATTCGGTATTATAGTGAAAATCAAACAGACCTACCAATGGGTTAAAAATGTCTTCTTGTGACATTTTGTGGGGGTAGAGTGGGGGATGGGGGGGAAGGGGGAGTGGATGGGGAGGGAAGTGCACAGGATTATGCTGATGGCACACAGGTGACTTGGTGATGGGAAACCCGTGGGGACTACAATTGAGATAGAAAAAAAATGTAAAAATGTAAAATAAACTGTTATAAAATAAAATTTAAAAAATTTAAAAATGTCTTCTTGCTATGTTTACTGGACATGTTTCTGTGCAGAAATCAACAGAGATCTTTGCTCTTGTTTCAGAAATGGAGATGAATTTTCCCCTTTTACAGGGTCACTGTCATAATCAAGGGTTGTGAATAACTTGTGTACATATATGAACTCTCATAAAGCAGAACTGTTGATAACAGTACAAAGTACCAGGGTATATGTGTTTAGTTCTTATAGTCATAAACCCTTGTCTCAGGTGGGTCTTAAGAAAACAAAACAAAACAAAAGGCAGAATTAAAACACAGATTGGATAGGCTGGTGCAGGGACGAAGCCATCTTGGCTAACTACGCCCCCACTGTGGCCTCTCCCAGACTCACAACCAGCCCTGATGCCCTTCATGGAAACCTAGAGCTCCTAGAGAACAGCACGGAAACCATGACCCTGGGTTTGGAATGCTGTGAGCCCAAGAATGTGTTCTTATTTGATCAACCAGGTGCACCCAGGGACTTAGGGGGCACAGGCAGTGTTGGCTTCATGCTCCTCCACCACCACAGATGTTCTCTCTGCATGACTGATAGTCAGGTGGAGTTATGGTTTGAATCTCAATGATCTGTCCCTGCCAGGAAGCATGTGTCGTTTAAAGGATGCAATGTTAACATTGTGATTTTTTTCAGACCGAGGTTGGAATTTGCTCTTGACAAATAACAAGATGATGAGTGACGCAAGCGACATGCTGGCTGCGGCGCTGGAACAGATGGACGGCATCATCGCAGGTAACCCATAGCCTCCTGAAGACAGGGTGCTGCTGTCCACTCTGCTCTTGGGCTTTCATTGCCTTTCTACTTTCTGGCTCTCCCGGTGCCTTTCAGATTTCCCATGGTTTTGTCTTTGTCCATCTTGTCTTCTCCATTTTTTTCTCCTGGAGTGAGTCTTAACTTTCATTGTAAATGCCTAGAAGTCCATTTCCTAGGCTTTTGTTCCAGGATGATGGGCCTGCATCTCAGGGCATGCTGGTGCAGGTAGCCTGCAGATCTGGGTCCTGTCCGATATCCTGAAGGTTCTGGTATCTTCCCTGCATTCCATTTGAGCTTCTCAACCGGGACTCACAGCCTCTGAACTGCAGGTCCGTGTCTCTAACTACCAACCGTACATCTCCCCTGAAGCATCCTGTGGCCACATCAGTGTTGGCATTTCAAGCACTGAGCTCATTTCCTTTCTTCTGAAGCACCACATCTTCTTTATCTCAGCTAATTTCACAGCCCTCCAGCCACACCACTTCCAACAAAGATGCATTGTCGCTCCTGTCTGTCGCTCTTTGTTTGTTCATCAAGTTCTCTGTCCTACCTCTCCCTTTTATCCTCTCTAATGTCCATCCTGTCTGTGCTGCAGTTGCCTTGCTTTGTCCAGGTAACCCCCTCACATGCTTTTCCCGACAATGTTGCTCTCCCACGCTAGCCCATTCTTCTGTGCACCTTCAGAAATCTTTCAAAACACAGACTTGATGATGTTACTCCCTGATCAGACTCCTCAGCGATTCCCTATTTAGGAGGCTGAGCAGCATCCGTAGCCCACTGGCCCTTGTGTTCTTAGGGTTATGTTCACAGTGAACCCTTTCTCTCCCTTGCAGACTCCCTTAGTGGTGGCTACTCAAAGTCTGGGCTCCCATGGTGGTACGAGGCAGGGTATGGGGGGCCTCTGCCCTCCTGAATTCCAGCTGCCTTGGCCTTGGCTCCACCTCCTTATCTGCTCTGGTCATGAACTTGACACCCCTCTGTTCTAGTGGTTGGAGAAAACCAAAGGCATTTTCCTCTTTGGAAGGTTCTTCCCTAGAGGGCAGTGGCAGGTTATAGCTGGCCTCCTGTTTTACTTACACTTCACTCTGTAGATTAGCCTGCAGGGTTGTGTTCAGTTTTAGAGTATAATTTTCAAAGGGTTATGGGAAGCAAAGCTTATCTCAAGGAGGGGAGTGTGAAGATGAGGCATTTAGCACCCACATCTGGAAGGAGCTGGTCAAGTGGAACCTGAAAGAGTGTAATCTTGCTCAAGACAAGATGCATTCTCTCAAAGAGCTGAAGGGTTTTTATGTGGAAGAGAGATTGGGCTGTGTCTCAATTTCAGGAAAGGTAACTATAACTAACACCAGGTTCTTAGCAAAGGAACTTCACATGCTCAGTGAAACCCTCATCAAGAGAAGTGATATTTTTGGAAGTAGTTAAAGATTTGCATTTTATCTATTCCATGGGATTAATGTAGTCATTCCTTAACCCTGGCAGAGGTTCAAAACAAGCACAGAATTATTAATGGAAATCAAGTTTACCCAGGTTGCTCCTCAGACTGAGTGAGTTAGGAGCTTTATGGATAGGACCTGGGTTTATATGTTTTTGAATTAACATCAGTAGTTTTCCAGTTGATGTTAGAGAACAGAGAGGAAATAACTGTAAACACTTGGGAAAGTTTTCTAAATTCATATCTCTTTTCTCTCCCCACCTTACCTTGTGGTGGCGACTTCGATCAGGGATTCTTGGGGGGACATGAGTGGGTAGTAACACTGTCAGTGGCTCTGGTACTTGAACTGCTGGAGCAGGATGCATTGCCTCTCTGGTCTTCTTTGCCCTCTGTTCTTCCCTCCTCCTGACTCAGCTCAGTTAACATTTTTACCTCAGCCCACCAGGGGTTTCCAGGGTATTGACTCAGAGTTAAGAGAAACTTCTAGCTGCAAGCCTAACATATTAGAGGCTACCATTATTATTATGGGGTGGCAGATTTTGGTCCAGATTGTCTGGCCCAGTATTAAGGTGGCATGTGGAGTATTAAGGAATAGCTGAAAGCAGATTCCTATCACCACTGCTGATTAGATGAGTCCATAGGGCTGGCTGGAGAGACACCAGGCTCACTAGGTCATGGACTCACCCATAGTAGAGCTTTGTACTTCGCAGCCTTCCTGACCTTCAAGTAGGAGGTTACTGTGTCTCTTTGACACAATGTCTCTTTGACACAATGGAAAACGACCATCCAAGAGGCAAAGAGGCATTGTGATTGTTCACCACAGGCATGGGCTCCATCTCCAGATGTTTCAAACTTGATTTTAGCAAGAGCATAAAACATAAGCTGCCGGCAAAATTGGGGAGATGTTTACACACACACATACTCTGTTATTCATGAATTCACACACTTGCAACCATTCATCAAACTTCTTCAGAGATGACTCCTAGTGAGACTGTTGTGTGCTGCCCACTTACCTTTGAGGTAAAAATGCCAAGCCATGTCCACATCCATGTAGATCCTTCCCAGGGGACCTGAAGGGGTGGAATTTAGAAGGGTTTAGCCAGGGTGGCCCCTAGAGGTTGGGTGTGTTTTTCACTATATGGCTTAGCCCAGCCTTGGCTGCTGCCTTCTTCATTTCTGCCAGGTCAGCTCACTCTCCACCACAGCCACCACGCCCTGTGCTGCACCACATGGTTGGCTTCCCTGTGCCGTAGCTGACCGTCAATGTTGACCCCCAACCACTGTGCCTAGGAGAGGTGCACCTGATTGTTTCAGCTATTATCCCTCTTTCTTGTTCTGAATGTTCCTCAGTGACTGGTGTGTCTTGTCACAGTCAGCTCTGGTCTGAGATTTGATGGAAACCCCGTGTACTCTCTGTGATTGTGTGTGTAGGTTCTAAGGCACTGGAATATTCGAATGGGATCTTTGATTGCCAGTCCCCCACCTCCCCGTTCATGGGCAGCTTGCGAGCCTTGCACTTAGTGGAGGACCTGCGTGGGCTGCTGGAGATGATGGAGACAGAAGAGAAGGAAGGCCTGAGGTGCCAGATTCCGGATTCCACAGCAGAAACGCTTGTGGGATGGCTTCAGAGTCACATGGTAGGTTACACTCTATGGGTCATGGACCTCCTGCTACAGAGTTTCTGCTGTTTATTCCACAACTGAGAACAAAGAATAGCTTGTTGCAACAGGGAGAGATGTTCAGCTCAGATTTTACTCCTGAGAGGTCCTGCTGTTAACTGGTTTGTTTTAAAGTACTGTTAGTGCACCTCTTTGTCCATGAGGGACCTGCTGAAGCTTAACATAAATAGTCCTGTAAGGGAGAGAACCTTGACATAATAGATGGGTTTCCCTGTGCCAAGATCCAGCTGCAAAAGTAAATACGAAAGACACAGCACAGACCTTTCTGAAACCCTAGGCCATGTGTCATGTTGTGCCACCTGGTGGTTAGTGTTAGTCATTTCTTGGACAGTGGAAACAGCTTTGTGACCTGCCAGTGGGGCCTGCTTGCACATGGGTGGTGGGCGCTAAACACGGTTTTAATAGGTGTTAAACCAAGAAAAGCTAAAGAATGTAACAATGCATTCAAAGGAGAAGATAGAAGAGATGTCATTTTGTAAGTAATTAAAAAGCCATTAAATTTTCACCAAGTTGCACCCATAAACTTGTAAATTAATTGGGTTTATAAGTAAGCCAGTTAATATGTTAAAGAATTAGATATCTTTTTGGGTTGGTGGCAATAACATAAACATGTTTGCTCCAGACACCTTAATGCTACACCCTGTGGCTGAAGCTTTCCAGGCTCCAGGCTGAATGTCCTCATGTCCCCTACAATACACCTGCTTCTGTCCAGGTGCCGAGGTGAGAGTTGCCTTTTAATGCTGGGGCAGCTCCACAACCTTAACAGTTGGAGATACCATGCTTTTTGTAGCACATGATGCCTGTGGTACTTTGTATTTGTTCTACAAGTTTCTCTGTAACAGCACAAAGCCTGTGGGGTAAGTTGCCACCACTGACTCTGTTACAGGGCAATCCAGTGGTCCTGCATAGTTTGATAAATAGAGTTAAAAGCAGTACGATTCTCGTTTTTCATACTGTTAGTAGCTGAATTATGGGCCTGTATTTGCTGTTACATGTTTTCAGCAGGTGAAGTTGAGCATCCACCTCTTTTAGAACCAAGAATGTAGTAAATGACACTGACACACATCATCAAAAAGACACCCAGAAGCATAGATTGTAAAGTAGGAGTGGCTTTTCAATCACCCATGGATGTACAAGAGCAAATCATTTGTCATAAACCAGATTTTACCAAATTATTTATGCTTATAAAACTAGTGGCAATAGTTAAAGAAAAGGGTGCACTTAAACTTAAGGCCGGAAGAAAAAGTGAAAGAACTCAAGCTGGGGATAAAGCTGCTTAAACTCATGTTTGAGCTAAAACACACCCACAAATGAGAGCTGAATGCAAAGAAAAAAAATTTTTTTTTTTCCTCAAGATCTGAAACAAAGATGTGTCCTGCAGACTCATACACTTACAGTGAGCAATGCAAGGGAAGCTACTTTGGGCTGGTCAGCCACAGGTGTAACTTGGTCAACCACGTTGGGCACCAAACTGTTACAGCACAACCCATGTCTGTGGGTCCTCACTGTGCACTTAAGATTCAAAGGCAGACACACACAAAAAGGATAATAATAGGTTTATTTACAAGGGGAAAAGGAAATGAATAACTCAGGGAAAGAGAGATAAGTTAGTTAATGCATCCTACCAGTTCTGCTGACCTGGAACTCTAATAACATGCTGCAAGCTGATGAAGGGCCAAGCAACAAGCTGCCAGCCACCAGGCCAAGAGACCCCCCTCACCCCAACATGTCCATTTTTATATACAAGCCAAAATGGCTGCCTAACTCCGCCATCGAGTCCTAGCAGTCCTCCGTTTGGTATTGCTGGGATTCATTGTTTCGGTGTCTGGAGTAGGGGCAGAGTCCACAAAACCTGTATCTGTAGAGTTTGTGCAGGTCATCCTTTTCCCTAACAATTCCTGTTTAAAGGAAGTCTCCTACAGATCCACACTCATGAACTGTGCATGTCCTGCATGGGTGCTCACTGCTTCCCTTCCTTTGGCATCATATTTGGTACTTACTGAGAAGTTATTACTCTGTTCCTGAAAATGTGTCTCAATGCCTGTCTTTTATTTCGAGACCAATGAGCCAATTTGTATTGTTCCATTTTCTCTGAATGTCAGTAGCTGCTGTGCTGAATTCATTTCACTTTCCTTGGATTAAAAAGAGGTGCAATTTTTATTTACCCACAGTACATCAGTTTTAAAGAGGGTCAGCCTTACCCTTATTTCCTTTTTCAGACAAATGGACATCTATCTGGGAATGGAGATGTGTACCAAGAAAGGCTCGCCCGTTTAGAGAATGATAAAGAATCCCTTGTTCTTCAGGCAAGTGATATTTATATGTTGATCTTCTCTCGTGACATATTATAAAGGCCATTTGAAATTGGGATGGCAGATTTACATGTGTCCAGGAGACAGACTTTTAATAGAATTAAGTGCGGTATGTCATCTGTACACAGTAGAAAGTGGTGAGGACTGTGGCTAATGAAGTGTTGGTAGCTGCCATTCGTCTTCCTCAGCTCCTCAAGGGCCAGAGTCCATAAGGCAGTGTCATGTGGTCAAGTTTTGTGATCTGCTCTGTCATTAGAGCTGATTTTTTTATGCACATAGAAACTCAAGGTTGGGGCCCTCCCTGGTGGCACAACAGGTTAAAGCAGAGCACTCCAAGCAAGCTGCAGCCGCTTCAGTGCCAGTTCAGTCCCCTGCCCGGAGGAGATCCACATGGCACGGCAGACCTCTCCTGGCTGCCCACTGCTCCCCTCAGCAGTGTACTTTGACAATCTGCCTGTTCTGCTTCCCGCTCTGTCTCTGGTGAATCCTCTCACTGCCCCTGTGCCTTTGTCCTGTACCCCAGTTCTGTATGCATAAAATAAATCTTAAAAAAATAAATCTTCATAAAAAAATTCATGGTTGTATAATGTATATATTTATAAATTTTATAACATTTCATAACTTGAATATTGTCATTCTGTTTTTTAACTAAAAATACGCGGGGGAGATGATACCACTTGGAGAAGGATGTAACATAGGCTCTCTGTGGTAGAGTAACTACAGATAGTGGCCTCTAAAGATATACACCTGAAAACTACATAATATTGTCAACCAATGTTTCTTCATTTAAAAACTAATTTTGAGTGGGCTTCTTCATGGTGTCTCAAAATGCCTAACATGTTTATGTTGGTGTTTTCGGCTAAATGAAGTTAGGGTATTTACTAGGCTAGTGGTTGTCAGGGATCGGTCAGAGATTCACAATTAACCCTGAGTGTGAGGAACTCAGTCCAGGGCTCCTCTCAGACTTTGAGTACTGTCTGGCTCCTTACACATCTGTGAACAAAGTGACTTGAAAGAGGTCAAGGAATTTGAACTCCCTGTTTTCTTTATTCTCTGCAAAGTGTCATACTTGAATAGTCCTGTTTGATTTCTGCTTCAGATGTTATCTTCACTTCCTCTATCACCCTTTAATACCACCAAAAAAAGATAGCAGGTGTACACCCTCTCTCTCATGCAATTGGAGGGTAGGGCTTACCTGTGAAATGTGACCCACCTCCAATCAGCACCTATTTCCTCCAAAATCTGATCTGAGGAATTCTCAGATCAGAAATTGGTTGTTGTTGCTAACCCACCAAGGGGTGCGCTGACTGCTATGTTCGCCTGAACACAGGCGACTCGGAGACATGAGAGAATGAAGCAGAAGCCTGGGGTATGGAGTCCGAAGTCTGTTTATTAGGACCACCCATGGATGTATATATAGGGTCTGTTGGGTGCAGGGAAAATCAGGAAATGTGTCCAGGAAATGTGCCCAACACAAAGGGTGGGGTGCATGTTTGTACCGGACCTGGGGCTTCTTGTAGCTTCTACTTGAAAAAAAGTAGTGGGCTGCAGCTATTTTCAGGACAAGTGCACTGTGCTCTGCTGACTTGTTTGTTGGCTTACTGGGGAGTGTGCTCACCCATGCACAACATTAGCCAGGGCGGACAGGTGCACTTAAGGTCCTGCAGAGTTAGCCACAGTTGTGAAGGACAGCTTGATCCAAACCATTGAACCAGGATGGTCCAAACCATTCTGACCTTTGTTTTCTGCCCATCTTAGTGAGTGGTCCTCTCATTCCAGTTTTTGTTATATTTAGAAAAATAAAGTTGGAGGGGGGTTTCAGATTCCTCATAACTCATTGCAGTATCTTATTCTAAATACAGGTAAGTGTATTAACAGACCAGGTAGAGGCTCAGGGGGAGAAGATCCGGGATTTGGAGTTTTGTCTGGAAGAGCACCGAGAGAAGCTGAATGCCACAGAAGAAATGCTGCAGCAGGTGGGTAGGATGTGGTGGTGGGAGGCGTGTTCCCAGGCTGTGTGCTGAGGAGGTGTATGGGTTCCATAGCTTGCCCAGGCTGGCAGGTTTGCAGTCAAAACTAGAATAGTGGGTCTTAGAGTATTACTTATTGTAGAGAGTTGGCATAGTTTGCATTTGGAATAAAATACTATCTACAAAGATAATTTTAAGTGTCTTCTTTGCATGTTGATGTGGTTTCCTAACTCCCAACTTCTTGAGAGAAGGCCCCTCAGTGGACACACACATGCACACACACAGGCATTCCACCCTAGCCTACAGTGGACAGAGCAGACACTCACATGTGACTGTATATGTCTGAATCCCTACTCTGCCATTTAATAGCTGTGTGACCTTTTGCTCTGTTCCTCAGTTTCCTTATCTGTTGAGTAAGGATAATTCATGACTTATGTATTTCTGCTTCATAAAGTTGTCTTGAGGGTCATTTAATATATGTCAGGACGGTGCCCAGTACTTGAAAATGTAATATCAACATCAGCACTATCAGTGGCATCATCAGGCTTAAGAACATGTAAGGTTTATGCGTGCATGCATCTGCATGACACATGCCTCTCCTGTAAACAGATGGGTCTTGTTCTTCTTCAGTAGCGGTTCACTAAAGCACATGTCTGGTGGACATACATCCATTTCATCCCCTCTTTATAGTGATTGCTTTGCTAGTATAAATGAGACATCTGCACAACAATACAGCTTTTGAATGTTTCTCCTAAATTCTAATAGGAGCTACTGAGTAGGACATGCTTAGAAACACAGAAATTGGATCTCATGGCTGAAATATCTAACTTGAAGTTAAAATTGACAGCTGTAGAGAAGGACAGGTTGGATTATGAAGATAGATTCAGAGACACGGAGGTAAGTGCCTCTCTCTATAGATACATAGCTATGTGTCTGTGCATATTTCACATGTGTGTATCTGTTACGTGTTTCTGGAGCAATTTGAGATTCCTTGGAGATGTGTGTGAAGGGGAGACAGTTGATTATTTTATATCCTCATTTGCATTCATCCAGGCATCTTTTAAAGAGTAAACTTTTAAATACATTGACATTTTATCATTAGATGCTTTGATAAGAAATTTTAATGTTCTCATTCACTTTTAAAAGTAGTTGGACTTTAGAATATTTGACTGTCTTTCTTCCTTCCCATCTTTCCTCCCCCTCTCTTTCCCCGCAGTCCACTGATCATGATTTTCTTTGTGGAGATGGGGATTTATTGTAGTCATTACTAGTGTTGTAGTCATTACTAAGTATACTAATGTTTACTATACAATAACTAGTTTTTAAATATATGTGGAAAAACAACTTCCATATAATCAGAAGAATTAGAAACTTTTAGAAATCATTTAATATGCATTTCTACTTTTGGTGTGTTCCACACGTAAGTCATTCCAGATAAATAAAGATCACTCTTTGGTGAGATTCAGGGTAAAGCTACAACATGAAGTCCTGTTTCACAGTGAAAGATGATTTCTTATTTTTCCACCTATTTTATTATTAATCCACACCTTCTGATTTATTTGCTTAAAATCTTCTTGATGGGACCTGAAAGCATATCCCCTTGATATCTGTTAACCTGAAAAGAGATATAAAGAGCTTCAGAAATTCCTTCTCCCCTAGGGAGCCATGTCTTCTTTTTGGGGTGTGGAAAGGTGTCACCTTGGGTTAATCAGTTGGTACCAAGGTGAGAGGAGAATAAATTCTACTCTTATGTTTTCCCCACTATTTTCATTTCAGACACTTACACCTGCCTTCACAGTACAGGGGCATTGACACGAATTGCCCTCTGCACCAACATCCTTCACTGCCCTGTACTCAGTCAGATTTGATCCATCACTATTTTCAAGATTAGAGTTTCTGTCAAAGATAGAATTACAGTGGAAAAGCTGGTCTTGTATCCTTAGTAGCAAGAGGAAATCCCTGATTTGGTTCTGCTCTAATGTTAGAGTGCTTCATCACTCACCTATGTAACTGTGTCTCCCACTTGATTGAGACTAGGGTAGGGATAGCGTTAAAACAGAGCTTAGACAGTGACCCAGTTTAGTTAATGTTCTTACTTTTGTGCTCTCTTTAAAAATATGTTTGGATATAGTCCCTTTTTGCCCCTGACCCATTGTCACTGCATAAGGTGTTGGTAGGATTCAGTCCAACAGATGGATGGAGCTGCAGTGGCTCTAACTCTCCTGCTATGTTTTTGGGGGTCCAGAGAGAGGCGACCTTGTATAGTATAGTCTCAACATTTAACTAAGTGTTAACCTGGGTGACTTTGGTTATTTTGGATATGAGATGTTATTATCCAAGCACTGGGAGCAGATGAAAGTGGGCATTCTGTAATTTTGGGGTATGACCTCACAGCAGAGGGTCTCATTTACATGTGGAATATAGAGAAAACAAACAGAAGTTTAAGAAAAAGTCAATGCTAGCAAGCTGACATAGATACGAAGCATACAGTAAAGAGGGGTGGGGTGGGGTGGGGCGGCAGAAGAGGTGGCAAACTGGGAAGGAAGAACACAAGGGAATATGGTGATGGGTCATGGGTGATACGGTGGCAGGAGAGCTATGGAGTCTACAACGATGTAAGGAAAATAATAAAACTTACACCATCAGCCCTCCCATACCACCCCCACCTGTGCTTCCTTACCTTATGAATGCATTCTCAGTCACAGACAAAGATGTACACTTGCCCCTGCTAACTTACTAATAAATACTCAACACCTTGGGTGAAATGTAGTATGCACACAGCCAAGATTGTAGGATGTATGATAAACTCTGTTATGTTGTAAATGGAAATAATTTAAATAATCTTAAAAATTTAAACCAAAAGGAGTTTGCTCATTCTTAAAAAAACAAAATCGTGTTTCCAGACAAATTCATAACTCCAAAGGTCTTTAACTTTATCCTATAACTTAGGTTACTTGGAAATTGATTTCTAAAGACGTATTGGTGTAGGGAAGAAGCATAGACCCTCCAAAAAGGAAGGAGCAAAAGCCCTAAACCTTGGAAGGTTATCAGCTTGCCTGTTGTCAGCATATGTGATAGGAACTGCCGCGGCAATCGACAGCGCCCCCTGCTGGTGTGAGCGCAGGTGTCACGTTGAGTTGCAAAGGACACCCCAGCCACTGGTCCTACCCTGCTTAGCCCAGTCCCACAATTCTCTGAAAAGGACAAAAGACTGAATTTTGAAGGATTGCTAGTGGAATTAATATCTCTGGAAAAAAAGTTACATGTTAAAGAACAATTTCCAGATGGGAAGATGACTTCCTAGAGGTTGTGGATTTAGATTCTTAGTACCCAGTACTGATTGGGTATTTGTTTATTTCAGTAACAAAAAAATCCTCTCAGTTTACAATTACATTTTCTTCAGTTGCTTCTTCTTTGCAAATTGCCACTTTTTAAAAGCCACTGCTATTACTAACAATGAGAAAGTGTAGGAAAAATATATAATTGACCAGGTGGATGAAGGAAGACTCTAAGCACCCATTAAGCAAGAATGATTAGTAAATAGGAGATAATTGAATGGGAGAAAGGGACTTTTCCCTGTAATTAACATTCAAAGGTTATTAACTGATGTCAGTTTGTGACTTCATGTGTAACAGAAGAGACTTGTTCAAACATTGTATGAATATTAATGAGTAATTATTGGAATAATATTTGATAATGGTATTTTTCATTTTATAAGAGGCCACAATTTAGAAGCCTGTGAGTGTCCTGGAAATTGTGTTTTCCTATAGCATCCTTGTAGCTTTTAAGTCCTTGACCTAAAGTTTAGAAGGATCCCTACTTAATAAAACTATTAAGATTAGTTCTGATAGCTTTATTCTACTCATTATTTTTTAATGACATTCTTACATTATCATGTACTTTCAGCTACGACTTTTGGCTTAGAAATAAATGTATTATATAGGAGAGGGACAAAAATACTTTAACTGGTATAAGGACCTTTTCTAGCTTTTTTCTTATTAAAAGAAAAAAGTCTTTCCATATATTATTTGAGCCTTTCTTTTGGAGAAGTGGGTATGATTTAGCATTCTAATTTCCTTTTCTTACTCTCTAGCTCTGGGCCAAAAGAAAAAGTATCTGATTTATTTTATAAGTAAATTGGGTTCTTTTAAAAAGTGGCAGTAGAAAAGCTATCTGATTGTGTTATGAGAACATTAGCATTACCTTTTTCATCTTCCAAATATAAAATTGTATGATGATGTTAAGGATTCTTAATCCCCTCAAGTTGATAACCCTTTTTTAAAAAATGAATAATATAGTATATTTTTACATCATTTTGTGCATTTTTCCATCTTAGTTGTAATCCCCTTAGGCTTCCCCAAGGGGAAATCAGCCATGTGCCAACATCATCGTCCAGTGAATTTCCTTCCCCACTGTTTTTGATCCGATTCCCCACTCCACCCCCATAAAATGTCTCTGGTATATAGCTGTTCACTATTATTATTTTCATGCCTGGTCCGTTATATTCCTGCTATGAATGAAAACATCCAGTATTTTTCCTTTTCTTTCTGGCTTATTTCACTAAGCATGATCTTTTCCAGCTCCATCCATGTTGCTGCAAAAGGCATGTGTTTCTTTCTTTTTTT